CTTTCCTGACCTCACTTCCTCTTCCCCTCCCCCAGCCTCTTTAACCCTTCACGTCCCCCTGGATGGAAGGGAAGCCCCTGGAGGAGTACTGCTGTACCACACCTAATTTACTGGGGCGATTTGTTTTAAAAAGTAAAAAATCTACATCTTGGGACGCCTGGGTGGCTCAGTGCGTTAAGCCTCTGCCTTCGGCTGGGGTCATGATCTCAGGGTTCTTGGATCGAGCCCCGCATTGGGCTCTCTGCTTGGCAGGGAACCTGCTTGCCTCTCTCTCTCTGCCTACTTGTGATAGCTCTGTCAAATTAATAAATAAAATCTTAAAAAAAAAAAAAAACAAAACCTGCATCTTGATTGTTCTTTTTCTGGTTATAAAACTAATAGGGGCTTATTATATAATATTCAAACACAGAATTGTATATAGAAATTGAGAGTCTCCCCCCCCCCCTTTATGTGGCTTCAATTTTTCACATATATGTAATTTTCACACATATGTATGTATATATTGATAGGGTAGTTCTCTGCAACTTTTTTTTTTTAAGATCTGTTTATTTATTTATTTTTCAGAGAGAGAGCACAAGCAGGCAGAGTGGCAGGCAGAGGCAGATTGAGAAGCAGGCTCCCCGCTGAGCAAGGAGCCGGATGCAGGATTGATCCCAGGACCCTGGGATCATGACCAGAGCTTGAAGGCAGCCACTTAATGGACTGAGCCAACCAGGCATCCCCGCAACATTCTATTTTCACTTAATGTATCACATTACAATTTTTCACATCAGCAAATATAAGTCTACCTCATTCTTAGTCTAACTGACAATGGACGTAAAGTCATTCCTAATTTTCCCCTGGTATAAACAGTGTCACAGTGAATACCTTGCTCTTTTATGTCTCTAAACAATCTGGTGAGTATTTCCATGGTGTCAGTCCTTCAGAGTGGAATTTCTGGATGAACGTGAATGTGCATTTTATAAAAGGATGGAGGCTACCCAGTTACCCTCCAGAGAGATACTAGCCCACACTCCCTCCAACCACATCCACGGTAATTTTAAAATGGCCTCTTTACACATCAATCTCCCTGACACCCCCAGTGGCTTGAGGTCCCCGCACCCTGCTTCTCCTTCTCCCACTCCCCTTGTGTTCTCTCTCTCTATCAAATAAATAAATAAATCTTAAAAAAAAAATAAATAAAATCTTCCAAGTTCACTTCTGGACCCTGCCTATTATTGTCCGCAGATTTCTTTGACAAAGTTAAAATTAAAGTAGTATATGGCGGGGCGCCTGGGTGGCTCAGTGGGTTAAAGCCTCTGCCTTTGGCTCAGGTCATGATCCCAGGGTCATGGGATCCCAGGATCATGAGATCGAGCCCCGCATCAGGCTCTCTGCTCAGCGGGGAGCCTGCTTCCTCCTCTCTCTCTGCCTGCCTCTCTGCCTACTTGTGATCTCTGTCAAATAAATAAATAAAATCTTAAAAAAAAAATAAAGTAGTATATGGTGCTTTTATTGTGGGGGGAATTGTTTACCTTGCATGATGACTTAGGTGTATATGAATGCTGTGTGCCCCTCAACACCAGAGCAGGCTTGAGGAGGTGGGCTTGACGGTGTGGGGGGTTGGGGAGTGTGGGGTGGGATGGTGGGGTGGGTGTGGGACTTGCTGGAAGGACGGGCTGTAGGAAGGCTCAGAGTCAGGGACTACTTGGAGGAATGGCTAAATTTAGAGTTTTGGGGGAGAAGAAATAGTAGGAGAGAAGGAAGGTGAGGAGGTGAAGGTCGGTAAATGTTACAAACCATCAGACTTGACTGTATGGGGTCTGGAGAGCTACTGTCCAGAGCTGGCTGGGGAGTGACTGCTCAGGACTGTGCTTCAGGCTTGCGGCAGTGTGACTGGGAAGGGGAAGGGACAGACTTCGGGCAGGGACATCAGTTTAGAAATGACCATAAATAGGGGCACCTGGGTGGCTCAGGTCATGAACCTGGCTGGAGTCCTGGGATGGAGCCCCATAATGGGCTCCCTGCTCAGCGGGGAGCCTGCTTCTCCCTCTCCCACTCCCCCTGCTTGTGTTCCCTCTCTTGCTATCTCTCTGTGTGTCAAATAAATAAAATCTTAAAAAAAGAAAGAAAGAAAGAAAGAAAAAGAAAGAACCATAAATAGCTTAGCTATTTATGTGGGCACACATACCCACCCGCGCCCCCCCCCACATACCCTGCCGCCTTCTCCCCTTTTCTGATTCTAATAATGGCATGACTATCCCTCCAGCCCCAGGGATGGAAGTCTGAGTCACTCTGACTCCTCCCCCAGCCCAAGTCCTGCCCGCAGCGATTCCTGCCGATTCCATCTCTATAACACCTCAGGTCTTGAGGGTCCTGCCAAGACCTTGGGTGAGGCTGGGCCCTCCTTCAGGGACTCGGACCTCCCTGGCCCAGGACCGATCCCCGAGTCCCCAACATCTTGTCACTGCTGTTGCCAGATGTTACCCCTGCCAACAAACACACTGTGCTCCTAGTGCTCTAGAGGGTCCACCGGGGGAAGTTCAAGTCCCTCTCTCTCCCAGACAGCCTGTCCAAGCTCCTCCCAGGTGGTAGATATCCTTAAGAGCCAGCCTGATGTGCAGTCCTGCCCTAAACCAACCAGGGTCTCCCCCATTGGAGTAATTTTGTCTTTGGTGCTTTGCTCCCCACTTAAGCTCCTCTTGGGACACCTTCTTCCTGTGCCCGGTTTGTGGGGATGGCACAGCTGTGTGGCTGGCTCCCCAGGGGTAGAGACTGAGTCTGGTGCCTCCACGCGAAACTTGCAGAAAACCTCGATTCAGTAACTAATTGCCGTTTGATTAGAAACATGGAAGTGTGGGCGTTTCCGATTCCGCTGACCCCACACTGGAGGATCTGAGCATTTTTCCTTTACACACCATCTTTCTATAAAGTGGCTTTCTGGTCCAGTAGCTGGCACTGCCAGGAATTCCAAACAAGTTCAGTAAATAGGGACTCTGTTTGCTCCTTTCTTCTTAAAAGAGTAACAGACTGTGAGCCAGGTATATGGGTATGAGCTAGGGTTCTGGTGCTTCCCAGCTCTGTGACTTTGAGTGTGTGTCCTAACCTCTTTGAGCAAATGCGAGCTGTCTCACCAAAGAGGCACCTTATGGGGAGGGCTGGCATGGAGCGGGAACCCAGGGACGCAGGGAGCAAGAGGAGGTTTAATCAGAAGACCTCGTCTCACAGTCCTAGGCTACTGCTGGGTTTGCAAAGGATACATGGGCCTCCACCCTCTCTGCAGGTGACGTTTTGACTCTGGAACACCCCTAGGCTTCAGGTCTGCCTCTCACTAGGGCTCCTGACACCCTAGTCTGCCACACAAAGGAATAGATGAGCCCCTTGGGGGGGAGCAGCAATTTCTTAACGGCCATTTCCGAAGTGGTAGTATGGGCAGCTGACATCCATAACCCAATCTCACTGTTTAGGCTACAAGGATCTTCAGGGGGTCCACGCTCCCTGTTGACAGGTATGGACACAGAAGCCCAGGTGCCTGGTAATACCAGGATGGCAAAAAGGCAAATACCAGGGGCTCTCAAGGTCTTTAACTGTGTTTTGAACAAGAGGACTGGGAACAGAGTGAAAGGCATCATGAGTCATTCTGGGACAGGCTGGCCCAAGATCAGGCCTTGACTGAGACCTCAGACTTTGGCGGGGAGGGGTGTCCAAAATCAATCTCCCCTTGGATCCAGTCTACTGGATCTCAGGGCCAAAGCAGTAGTTCTGCCTGGTTGGGACAGGGAGAAGGAAGCATTGAAGCCAGTAATTCAAGGTCGCTTTCTTGGCCCAGCCCCATCTGGCAGTGGGGACAGTGAGGCAATGAAGGGGAGAGCTGGGGACACAGGGCAGAAAGAGGTTGCTAGTATGTGGAGTTGGTGTGACCGGGTAAGTGGGGGCTGGGGTCAGATTTTTCTAAATAAAATCCGACCCAGCTGGTGTCTCATTTCCAGAACAGGGGCGATGAGACTTGGGTCGCCTGTAACAGAACCAATCATATTGTCTTCCGCGGGCCAACAGGCAAAGATGGGACTGTTTGCCAGGGTGGATCCTGATCGCTTCCAGATAAATCGTGATAAGCACCAACCACAACCGTTGAGCCGAGGGTGTGCCCCAACACTTTTCCTTGCGTTATGTCACCCACCTCTCCTGGCAGCCCGGCTACTGTGGTAATTCCCATTTCGGACGGGGGAAAACAGAGTTTGGCGGGGCTGAAGGACTTTGGCACTGTGACTCTCCATTGCCAGCTACAAAAGGCAGGGAGAATGTGGGTCCCTTGGCCCTGTCTCTTGCCTGTTGCCACGGAAACCCCTTTCCTGACCTTGCCTGCAGCCCCTCCGAGTGAGTCAGGACAGTGAGGAAGAGGGAGTGGGGCCCAGGCAGCCTGGCCTTACAGTTAGGGTAGGGTAGGATTAGCAGCTTGACCTTCTGGTGAGAAGCAGAGGAGGAGAGATTTCAGCTCTTGACTCGGATCAGTCTGCACAACTCGTGGACGGGACCGGAGTATCCGCGAGCGCGAACTTGAGGAGAGCCGACGTGCCCGTGGCCTCAGTCCAAGAACACGGAACCCGCACTTGGTTCATGCCAAGGAGTTTCAGCCCAGCCTTCGCGAAGGGCGCAGGCGTTTGCTCACTTTGGGGGTTTAAGCTGATTTGTCAGCAACGAACACCCAGGTTTAAATAGGGAATCCCGGAGAGAGGGGTTTAGCCTCGTTGACAGGAGTCCTAAGCCCTCAGCTCCCGCCCCAGCGCGCGGGTCCCGGTGGGTCTCTCGGCCTCTCGCGGCAGCCCCTTGGCGCCAATGGAAGCGCGCGCTGGGCGCTGGGGCGGGGTCCCGCTCGTGCGGGGTTGGCTGGGGCGGAGAAGTCCGGCCCGGCCCGGCCCCGGCCCCGCCTCCTCCCCGAAGAGGCCCAATCGGGTGGCGGCCTCCGACAGCCCCGCCCCGCCCCTGCCCGCGCCGGGGCGCCGGGCAGGCCTGGGCCGCCCGCAGCCAGGCAGCCGGGGGCAGCACCGGCGCTCGCATCTGGCCTGCTTGGCGGGAATGGCTGGCTACCTGCGGGTCGTACGCTCGCTCTGCAGAGCCTCCGGCTCCGCGCCGGCCTGGGCGTCGGCAGCCCCGACGGGCCCCAACTTGCAGGAGCAGCCGCGGCGCCACTGTGAGTGCCACGAGGAGGGTCCGGGCGGGGCGCGCGCCCGGCACCGCGACGTGGCGGCCTCCCGGGCGGAGACCTGGGAGCCCGAGTCGGGACAATCGCGGGGCTGGGGACGGCGGGCTTGGCACACACACAAAGAGCTGGGGGCGGCGACACGCTCCCCGGCCCCAGGCTTTCTGGCCGCGCCAGGCGCAGGGGTGGGGACTTGAAGGACGGTGGCAACTGGTGGCCCTGGCGCGGCGGGTCCTGCGGCCCTGCGCGGGCGGGGTCCCGGGCCCGGAGGGTATCTTGCCTGCCCTGCGTCCCCGGGAGGGGGACAGGCGAGCGAGTAGGGGGCCGGTGCACCCGGCTCGGTGTTCCGGTGAGAGCGAGGGTCGCGGCGCGGGCCCGGCTCAGACAAAGGCGGGGAGGAGGCATCCACTTCCCCTTCCTTTGCAGCCGGGCGCTCGGTAATCCCTCCTCACTGTCAGGCCCGCGGCCGCTATTTTTGGAGCCTTTCACGCGACAGCTGGAGGAGCGTCCTTTTTATTTTCCCTATTGTTTGGATGACTCCCACCCCCTACCCCGCTCCTCTCCCGTCTCACTTAAGTCTCCATCCAGGGGCCTCTCCGCGGCCCGACCGCCTTTTCTCGCCCGTCCGCCCCTGCACTGCTCCTTGGCACGCTCCTCTCTCCCGCCTGGGCAACTGGGCGGTTGGGCAGCGGCACCAAAAATGCCACTTTCCTGAATAATTCCTCACTGCTTATGTGGCACCCTTAACGTCCCGCTTAGGAGAGAAGACAGTAATCAGGTCAGAATAAGCAGGATTTAGCCTGAACCTCCATTACCAGCCTCGGCTGCCCCCCACCCCCAACCCCGTGGCATGTGGGCATTGGCCGGCACTGTGACTCTCCATTGCCAGGTACAAAAGGCAGGGAGAATGTGGGTCCCTTGGCCCTGTCTCTTGCCTGTCGCCACGGAAACCCCTTTCCTGACCTTGCCTGCAGCCCCTCTGAGTGAGTCAGGACAGTGAGGAAGAGGGAGTGGGGCCCAGGCAGCCTGGCTTTACAGTTAGGGTAGGGTAATCTTTAACGAGTGTGGGAGCAGCAGACCAGAATTGAGGAGGGGAGGGGGGATCGCTTGCCCACCCCCCTTCTCCTGCCAAGAAGAAAGGGGGCATTTCTGCTTTTGTATTTCTGAGATTTGTCTCTAAGTAGTCAGTCTTGCAACCCTCAAGGTTCCAAGTGGCCACAGGCCTCAAAACGGAGTTTCCCATATGGTACCAACTTTAGCAAAATAGAGTGGGAGTTAAAGACATTCTCCAGTTCTTCCTATTTCTCCCCTGCACTGATGGTAGGAAAGAAAGCTTTTTTAGTCGTAGGTCTTTCCAGAAGTCCCCAAGCCGTTGGTTTATTAATGGGGCCAATATGTAGTATTTGAGTTGGACAAGAGATTCCAACTGGGCTTTCTGCTAGCTTGTTAACTGGCGACGCTGCAGGAGACAATGATTTGGCATTCCCCTCGAGGTCAGGGAAAGAATTTTTTTTTTTTTGGCTAAAACACTCGTGTGTCTTTGCTGCTCGGTAATTCATGCATGGCTCTAGTTTTGGAATTTCTAGGCCTCCCGTGTCTGTTGGTGGTGGTTCCTATATGCTGGCTTTCTTGGCTTTTGGGAAAGTGAGGGTAGGCTCGGCCCAAGCACTCACGGGGAGAATGGTCTTGTCTGGCCTGCCTTACCTCCACTCCTCACCTGGGAACTTTTTGATTTTCTCACCCTACCTCTTAACTTTTCAGACCTTGGTGACTTGCCTGCACTCAGATTTCAGGGAGTCACTTAATGATTGTTCAAAGTTCTGCAGACCCACCAGTGGAGGGATTTTGTTATTTTTTTTTTTAATATTTTACTTATTTATTTGAGAGAGAGAACAGGAGAGGGGGGAGGGCCAGAGGGAGAAGCAGACTCCCTGCTGAGTGGGGGAGCCTGATGTGGGACTTGTTCCCCGGACTCCTGAGCCGAAGGCAATTATCCAACCCACTGGGTCACCCAGGCACCCCCACTGGTGGAGTTATTATGTGTTCTCTGCTGAAGCTGGTTTCAACCACAGTAGGTAGGACCACTGCTGCCCCATCAGAGGGATTTTGGGTGGGCATGTTTAGGCCTGGCAGGTTTAGAGGAACGTCTTCCAGAAGGCCTGGGGCCAGCCCTCATATCCTCCCTGGGAGGTTGAAGTCTGTTGCGCTGGTTCCATTCAGGGTATGAGGTGCTGGACACTGCCCTCTGGTTCCTGGAAGCCAGGCTCTGTGACCAGTCCTGGAGTTTACACTAATGGAAATGCATGTTGAAAATGCCAGTACAGGGACCCCTGGGTGGCTCAGCCCGTTAAGCACCTGCCTTTGGCTCAGGTCATGATCTCAGGGTCCTGGGATCCAGCCTAGCATCGGGCTCCCAGCTCAGTGGGGAACATCCTTCTCCCTCTGCCCTTCACCCCACTCATTGTCTCTCTCTCTCTCTCTCTCAAGTAAGTAAAATCTTTAAAAGAATATAAAATGCCAGTGGATTGCACATTTTAACACCGTGTAAAAGTGTGAGCTTTTCCAGGGCAAGTTGCCCATTGCCTGGCAGAGATGGCCCCCATGTACATTTGTGATGGACTAGGGGCTGGGGTATAGCTCAGTGGTAGAGCATTTGACTGCATTTGTGATGGTCTGGTGCAGTCTGCTGATGAGAATTCCCCAGTCCCTGTGGCTGTGCATTCCAGGATGGGGGGTGGGGGAGGGGAGCGGATTTCATCCCAACAGGAGGCAAGGGCAGGGTAGCAATTTACTATAGACCAGATTGACTGTGACTTGACATTTCATTTGACTTCAACAACTACTGTGTTCTCCTGTGGGTCAGGCACGGTGCACGGTGCTGGGGATAGAGCCAGGGGTAAGAGGCAAAGATTTCTGCCCTTGGGGAGCCCAAATTCTAATGCGGGGACAGTCAGTAAAACAAGGCCAGAGTTGGCTAGTGTGGTGTAAAGTAACACGAGCTGAGGGGAACAAATCAGACAGGCAGGTGTGCGAGAAAGTTTGGATGGGACGGCGGGAAAAGACCTTGAATGAAGTCCTAAGGGAAGGAAGCAAACAACACGCCATTTGGTTGTCTGGTGCCAAGGCCATGCTGGAGGGGACCACCTTTGCTTGGGGAGGAGTGCCCGAGGCTGACATGGAGTTAGGAGGGGTGGTTAGGGACCGATTAGGTCAGGCCTCGTGGGGGGCCTTGCATTTCTGAGGGCTTTGACCTTTACTTGGAGTGCAAGGGGAAGTTTTGGAGGGTTTTGAGAAGATTTACATTAAACAGGAGTGCTCTGGCTTCAAGGTCTTTGTAGGAGGCTTGTAGTCCTAATCTCGCAAGAGTTGGAGAAAAGAAAAAAGAGGGAAGTAGCGCTGGGGGGTGGTGAGAAGGGCTTGGCTTCCGCATGCATTTTGAAGGAAGAGCCCTTCACCTTTGTTGATCTTAGCTTCTCTGCTGACCGCAGCCAAGGTGGGAAAGTGGTAAAGCACTCACTCTTCGGGGTGGCTCTCTCGGGACAGAGAGACCTTCAGCCTTGAGTTTGGAGGGACAGGCTTTGAAATCCTTACTTGGTGTTGGGTGCTAACGGTCTTGGGGAGGAGAATTGGCCTACTGGGCCACCTGTGGCTGCTGTAATTCCATCCCGCACTCTGGCCAAGAGGATAGCGTGCAGTATTGCATGGTAGCTGGCCCTTGGAAGCTGTCAGGGAGGCCCATGCACTCTGTTCCTTGGATTTCAGATTACTTGTCATCATTGTCTCCCAGAGAGGGGCAGATGCTAGGGGTGTCTCTGCCATATTGTCTGAACCACACACCAAGTCTTCCAACTCCGATGCCTTGGGGCGCACGTCCTTGGAGGGTAGGTGATAGGCCTGGAATGAAGGAGAAGCTGTGCCCTGCACAGCCCATTCTAGCTGTAGGTGAGCGCCAGCTCTGTGTGGGGAAAGCAACTCATGCTTCAGGAAGAGACTGGGGGGCTCAGTGGGTTGAGCGTCTGCCTCTGGCTTGTGACATTCCAGGAGTTCCTGGAAATGCCGGGTCAGGCTCCCTGCTCACTGAGGAGTGCCTGCTTCTCCCTCTCCCTCTGCCACCACTCCCCCTGCTTGTGCTCTCTTTCTCTCTCAAATAAATAAATAAATAAAATATTTAAAAAGAAAAAAGAAGAAGAGACTGGATTTTTATGTAAAAGCTCCTGGGTTGTCTTCCCCCCCCACCACCGGTTTAAATTTTTAAAAACTTAAAAAATCTTATTTTTTATTTTGTATCGCGGTAAACAACTACACAACAAAAATCTCCATCTTGACCGCTTTTAAGAGTGCAGTTCACTAGTGTTAAATATTTTCACATTGTTGTTGTACAACCAATCCCCAGAGCTCTGTAATCTTGCAAAACTGAAACTCTGTACCCGTTAAACAACAATGCCCCACCTCCTCCTCCCCCCAGCTCAGGGCAGTCTCAGTTCCACTTTCTGTTTCTATGAATTTGACTACTCTAGGTACCTCCTGTAAATAAAAATAAATAAATAAATAAATAAATAAATAAATAAATAAATAAATAAAATATAGTAATAGCTTATTTGGGTCCTCATAATGTGCTCCAGGTTTATCCCTGTCATAGCTTGTGTCAGCATTTTCTTAATTTTTACGGCTGAATAGTCCATTCTCTATATACTCATTTAAAAAAATAGTCCATTTAGGGGTGCTTGGGTGGCTCAGTGGGTTAAAGCTTCTGCCTTCGGCTTAGGTCGTGATTCCAGGGTCCTGGGATCGAGCCCCACATTGGGCTCTCTGCTCAGCAGGAAGCCTGCTTCCTCCTCTCTCTCTCTGCCTGCTTCTCTGCCTACTTGTGATCTCTGTCTGTCAAATAAATAAAATCTTAAAAAAAAAAAGTCCATTTGAAATTGTTGACCTTCTGAGTAAGGTACAGGAATTGGGAAAAGCATAGGCAGTATGGTTATTAATTCCTTGCGTATTTATTACTGCTTCTAATTTCTAGTAAGTTACCTCTTACGTATGTTACTCGCAGCTGGATTGAAAGTGTTTGGGATGTAGCGGTGCTGTCTGTCTGTGTAAGTATTCCACATGATGAGTATTTCCCCCCGGCCATCCGGGGGGAAACGGACTTTGTGGAATTTGAACCTAAAGAACTTGAGCAGCAAAAGCTGTTGACTTAGCTCCAGATCCCATCCATCGCTGTCAGAAACCTTGGCAGTGCTGCCTTTTTTAGCTTCCGAGCAAGTCCATTCCCATTTGAGTGGTGGGGACCCCAGTCTTGGAGAAACTTGGAATTAGGAACATTGTTTAACGTTTGGAGGGACGTTTCTCTTAACCTTCCTGGATTTGTTTCCAGAGTCTTCTTTCCAAGGCGCCTGTCACATTTTGTTCATCCGTTCGTTCCTTGACAGACCTTGAGTTGCTTCTGCCTCTTGGCTGTTGTGAATAATTCTGCTATGGACATGAGTGTACAAATATCTCTTTAAGACCCTGCTTTTAATTATTTTGGATATATATCTAGAAGTGGGATTGCTAGACAGTGTGGCAGTTCTTTTCTTTCTTTTTTTTAAGGGGGGAAGGGCAGAGGGAAAGGGAGAGAGAGAATCCCAAGCAGGCACGCCCAGAGCAGAGCCCAAGGACCCCCCACCCCCAACTCTATCTCCCCACCCTGAGATCATGACCTGAGCCAAAATCAAGAGTTGGATGCTTAACCGACTGAGCCCCTGGGGGCCCCTGGACAATATGGCCATTCTATCCTTAATTTTTTTTTTTCTATCTTTAATTTTTTGAGGAACCATCATACTGTTTTCCATAGTGGCTGCAACATTTCCATTCTCACCAGCGTCTTACACAGGATTCTGGTTTCTCCATATCCTCACCAGCACCTGTTGTTTTCTGTTTGGGTGAGGTTTGTTAAGTTAGTTTTGTTTTTTGATAGTAGCCATCCTCGTGGGTGTGAGGTGGTATCTCATTGTGATTTTCATTTGTATTTCCCTAATGATTAGTACTGTGGGGTGACTTTTCATATGCTTATTGGCCATTTATATATCATTTTTAAAAAATATTTTATTTATTTATTTGACAGAGAGAGAGAGAGATCTCAAGTAGGCAGAGAGGCAGGTGGAGAGAGAGGGAGAAGCATGTTCCCCGTCGAGCAGAGAGCCCAATGTGGGATTCGATCCCAGGACCCTGAGATCATGACCCGAGCCGAAGGCAGAGGCTCAACCCACTGAGCCACCCAGGAGCCCCCCCATTTATGTATCATTTTTGAATAAATACCTATTCAAGTCCTTTGCCCATTTATTAATTGGTTATTTGTTGTTATTGTTGTTTGAAATCACCTGATTTTAAAACCTTGGTCACCAATTAATATATTTTTAGAAACCCTGCCTGAGCAGTGTCTTTTTTTTTTTTGTAAATTTTTCATGATTTTGTAATTGTTGGTTTTTTTTTCTAAGATTTTATTTATTTGACAGACAGAGATCACAGGTAGGCAGAGAGGCAGGCAGGGAGAGAGGAAGAGAAGCAGGCTCCCTGCCGAAGGCAGAGGCTTTAACCCACTGAGCCACGCAGGTGCCCCATTGTTGGTGGTTTTTATTTTATTTTATTTTATTTTTTAAAGATTTTATTTATTTATTTGACAGAGAGAGATCACAAGTAGACAGAGAGGCAGGCAGAGAGAGAGAGAGAGAGAGAGAGAGAGGGAAGCAGGCTCCCCGCCGAGCAGAGAGCCCGATGTGGGACTCGATCCCAGAACCCCAAGATCATGACCTGAGCCGAAGGCAGCGGCTCAACCCACTGAGCCACCCAGGCGCCCCTTTATTTTATTTTTTAAAGTAGGTTCCATGCCCAGTGTGGGGCTTGAACTCACAATCTTGAGATCAGGAGTTGCGTGCTACACTGACTGAGCCACCCAGGTCCCCCACGCCTCTGCTGCTTTGCCTCCCGTGGCTGCTCCCATCTCTGGCAAGTGTGCCTTCAGGGAGGCTCTACTTGTGACGTTTTTTTTTCCCTTAAAGATTTTATTTATTTATTTGACAGAGCAAGTGAGAGAGAGAGCATAAGCAAGGGGAGCGGCCGACCCAGGGAGAGGGAGAAGCAGGGTCTCGGCTGAGCCGGGGAGCCCGATGTGGGGCTCGATCTCAGGACCCTGGGATTATGACCGAAGCCGAAGGCAGGCGCTTAACCAACTGAGCCCCCCAGCGTCCCACTCCTGCCTCTGTTAATAGCCCCTGCTTGCTCGCTCTCTCCATCTGTAGGTTTCCCCTTACATACTCACTCCTTGAGGCCTGCCACTGTTAGGTTTTTCTCAGTGTTTCAGGAAGAGGTACTTAACACCTGGTTGTAAATAAGTGGGCGCTGTGTTCTCTGAGGGTTTGATACCTGCCGGCACAGCAGGGAGGGCTGCCCGCTGTGATCTTGACATTGAGCCCTGGGTCAATTACTGTGTCAGTTACTGGGTCAGTTACTGGGTCAGTTACTGTGTCTGAAACCCAAAACTTGAGTGGAGCCCAGGTGAGGCTGAAACCTTTAGGACTGGCCCCAGATGAATTCTCCTTTGGGATTATAATTACGGCAGATTCAGTACAGTTAAAAAAAAAAAATCTTCATTCGCTCTCATGACATTAACTCATAAGAGATGCTCTTAAAAACTAAGCTGGCTGTACAACAGCCCAGTAGACTTTCTGCAGGTCCTAAAGCCCTTTTATACTCAAGCTTTCAACCAAGAATGGTGGAGGAATTTTTTAACTTGGGTCCAAAGGCCCCTTCGCGTCCTGGAAGGGGTGGTAGATCACCACCAGCCAGCTGCGTCTGCCTTGTTCTCTAGGGAACAGAATGTTTGGAGTCTGTGTTTGCTCTGCGCTTCTCTGCATGTGACCCACGAGGGTGTCTAGAGCCGCTCTTCAACCAGAGACCTGGGATCTAGTCTGACTTCTGACACAAGCCACACTCCCTGGGTCTCATTTTTCTTCCTAAATAATCTCTCCCATTCTTTTTAGGTTAAAAAAAAAATCTGTTTGCATATCCTTGGGAGATTATTTTTAGATTAAAAAAAATCTGTGCACATCTTTGGAAAGTGAGTCATTTTTGCTGCACATAATTCACCTTTTTCTTGGTGGGCCGGGGATGTCAGCATGAGTCACACGCTGGTGCGTGTTGTAGGACGGTGATAGGCTTGCGGTTGTGGGGTTTTGGTCATTTCTGTTTTAAAGGTGCGTAGGTGGTCCTGCTTGTTTAGTCTCAGGCCTGCTTTTCAGAGATTTCTTTCCCTTGCCAGCCTCCCAGCGGTGGTCACTTCTGATGTTTTTAAGTGAACGTCCTGGTCCCCTCTTGGGACTTGCTGTCTAATCTCTGGTGAGGCGGAAGACCCAGCACAGTGTCTGTAAGGATTGTGTGCAACATAAGAGTCCGTGGGCCCTGAGTGAGGGCTGAGGCGGCTGCTGAGGACAGAGTCCCGCTCTCAGCTGTCCTCCTCCTGTTGAGCTTTCTGGTGATAGAGGCCCGACTGTAGGTTTTACACAGACCCGCTTGCCTGACTCTGGAGGCCCTGCTTCTTCCCCGGCTGTGGGCAGAGCGACGTGCTGGAACAGGATACCTCTCTGTCTGCTACAGCTAAGGTTCATCGAGCTCTCCCTCCAGGTAGCCTGCACTGATTGAAGGGGATGGGCGGTTTCCTTGAGTTTTCCTTGGAATTCACTGCTCAGACTGTTGGTTTGTCTCGTGAGTCAGACTTTCCTTGGAGAGCCTCCCCCCGCTTCTCTTGTCCTCTACCATCTCCCTGGATCTTAGATGCTTCTCTGACAGGACTGGCCCCCCGAGCCAGCTTGGCTCAAGGATTCTGAGTTCTGTTCCAGGGGCCCTAAGCCTATGCTTTCCATGGATTTCGAAAGGTGTGAATCCTGGATGTGTTGTCTTCAAGCGGTGTATCTGGGAACGGGGTGGTAGCGGCTCGTAGGTGTCCCTCCCTGACTTACTACTGGATGGGGTGGCCCCAGCTGGCTGTTAGGCTCTGTGTTGGACTCTGCTGCCATCAGATCCCAGGGCAGAGGTCTGATGGGCCAGACTGGCATCCTACTGCCCAGTCCCGGGCAGCTGTCCTGGGCGGGAGAATCCAGGCCCCCCAGGTGGCCGGGGAGCTGCTCCTGCGGAGGGGGAGGGAACATGGGTAACGGGGTCCTGGCTGACACTGCTCCCTCCTTGGTGAAGGGCAAGTCCGGCCAGGTAGGAGAAGGGCTCCCCCTCGAGCCTCCTAGAGCTGTGATCACTGTGTGTGCCTGGTTCCAGATGCTGACAAGAGGATCAAGGTGGCGAAGCCGGTGGTGGAGATGGACGGCGACGAGATGACCCGGATCATCTGGCAGTTCATCAAGGAGAAGGTAGCCCCTCCCAAAGCAGGTGGCTCTCCGCATGGCCCCTGATCCCTGTGACAGCCCTCGGGGCTCACCTGCCACCCTGGTGGGCAGCCGCAGCCCCGTTTCCATCCTTCCATCCACCTTGCTGTCATGTCCACACCATGCATGGTTTTCACGACGTCGGGCAGTGGCCCTTCCTCAGCCATCTGTCTTGTGCCGGTGCCGAAGCCTGCATGTTTTCCAGAATGGGGGTGCACGCTCAAGGCCTATCCTGTATGGTGTCCGTCTTGATGTCCCACGGTCTGATGGGCGTTCTCAAGGGAGTGGAAAGAGCAGGGTGGGTGCTCACCTTTCCTGAGTGGTTCAGGGACGTTATCTGGGGTCGGGGCCGTGGTGTGTCCTGACAGCAACGGGTCTGAGGCATCATGGCAGATGGCTCCCAGCATGGCTGCTGGGCTTCTCCAGAGTCTCATGGTCTGGATCTCCCTGGAGAGCTTGTTGTCCATGTAAAGACCCCTGTCCTGTTTTGTGTGTGTGTCTGTAAGAAAAAGGTCAAGAATGGCCACTTCTGAACGGGGAAGAAGAGGGAACCCATTGTACGGAGAAATCTAGATACATCTCGAGTTGGTGGGCCATCGCAGTCCATGCTAGGGGCTGGGCCCTCTGAGGGGCTGCAGCCTGGTCCGCTGGCCTCTTTCCAGAGAGCCCTGGCATCCTGACAACTTCCGCCTGGACCCTCTCCCAGCCCCCCTGCCGTACTGCCCCCTTCCCTCATCCTGCCCTTCCTGGGTGTCCTGTGCTATGGCCCTCACAAGCTCCTGAGACACACACACACACTGATGCCTTGCCCCGGTCATCTGTCTCTAGCTCATCCTACCCCATGTGGATGTCCAGCTCAAGTATTTCGATCTGGGGCTCCCACACCGTGACCAGACCGACGACCAGGTCACCATAGACTCGGCGTTGGCCACCCAGAAGTACAGTGTGGCCGTCAAGTGTGCCACCATCACCCCCGATGAGGCCCGTGTGGAAGGTGTGAGGGTGTGGAGGTGGGTGGGTCGGGGCAGTGGGGGCTGTGCCATAGCCCAGTCTCCCTGCAACATCCCGGAGGATAGGGGAGCCCTAGGGGTTCCTGCAGATGAGGCTGGGTGGGGTGGTGCTCCCAGGTCCGTGGTGTTTGTGCTGTGCTGTGTGGCTCTGGCCGGGGTAGGGGTCATGGGCGACAGCGAGGAGGAAGTTCATTCTGATGCTGTTATAGTAAGGACAGGCTCTCTGGGCAGCCTGCCCCTCTGGCCTTCTAGACTGTTCCGCAGGCAGGTTTAAGGAGACACTGGGGCCACCCCTGTCCAGCAGAGTGCTCTGTGTCAGGCATGTATCCTTGAGAGCCTCAGGGCTCTCTCTCTGGCTTATATCTCTTATATCTTATATCTCTTATATCCCTGTTTTGTGGACAAGGAAGTAGGGAGTCACCCTCAGTAATGTGGGCCGGACCTGGCGGCTGGAAGGGCACGTCTACAGTGCGGCCGGGTGCTGCTGCGTCTGAGCGTGATGTGGGAAAAACGGCAGACGCGAGCCATTTCTAAGTTTATTTAATTGCCCAAAGGCTAAGTGTTTTAGCAATCATTTCATTTTCCAGCTCAGGTTAAGCCACTTGCATAAAACTCACAGTTGGAGGTGGTGGAGTTAGACCCAGAAGCCAAGAAATCTGATCCCACAGCCCACACATTGGTATCCCAGACGGCCCAAGGCCGACTTCCAGGGCTCCCGTCTGGCTGCGTTCTTGCTGAGGGTTCAGATTTTGGTTGGAAGGTGGGGACTGCAGCGGGGCCACTTTGACTCTGTCCTCACAGAGTTCAAGCTGAAGAAGATGTGGAAGAGTCCCAACGGGACCATTCGGAACATCCTCGGGGGGACCGTCTTCCGGGAACCCATCATTTGCAAAAACATCCCCCGCCTGGTCCCGGGCTGGACCAAGCCCATCACCATCGGCAGGCACGCCCACGGTGACCAGGTGGGTGCCGGTGAGGGTGGGCTCGTACTGGCCGGGGCACCGTCACCCGGACACCCCAGGCCTGAGCCGCGCTCTCGTCTCCGTAGTACAAGGCCACGGACTTTGTGGTGGACCGGGCTGGCACGTTCAAGATCGTCTTCTCCCCGAAGGACGGCAGTGGCGCGAAGGAGTGGGAGGTGTACAACTTCCCTGGCGGCGGCGTGGGGATGGGCATGTACAATACCGACGAGGTGAGGCCCCCGCGCGGCTCCTGAGCGCACCCCTCCCCGAGCCTGGACCCCTCTCGGGCCGCTGCTGACTGTGGGTTCTTACTCCCCCTGTGTTCGTGGCTGAGGCAGGTCTGAGGCCTGTGAGCAAATGCAACCAGGACACGTTCAGGGGAGCCCGCAGTGTGCCTGGGGCGGAGTGGGACGGGAAGACTCCTGCTTAGCGAGCTGCCCGCTCCCCGACTTTCTGTGCTCCTTCTCCCGACACCCTGACCTCTTGTGCTCCTCTGACACCCCGACTTTCTGTGCTCCTTCTCCTGACACCCCAACCTCCTGTGTTCCTTCTCCAACACCCCAACTTTCTGTGCTCCTTTTCCCGACACCCCAACCTCCTGTGCTACTTCTCTGACCCCCCGGCCCCCTGTGCTCCTTCTCCCGACACACTCCCGGGGGCATGTAAGTTGGCAGCATGGTTGGCTTAGCCAACTGGATAAGCATTTCCCCTTCCCCAACTCTTGGCTTTCATGTCTTCCATGGTTGCCCTCATTCTCTGGCTGTGAGGAAGTGGCCACAAGGAACCCCAGGCTTGTCCCCTGCCAACTTCGTTGCCCTATCAGAAAAGAGCCTTTTTGTTCATGGTTCTGGCAAGAGTGCCCGGCCTGGTCACAGGACCACCTCCGAGCCAGTCATGGAGGGCTCAGAGAGGATGAGCCCAGACACCCGTACACTCTAGAGACAGGCAGGTGGGCGGAGAGAATGAGACCCACCCCAGCCATATGGTCTAAGAACTGGGGAGAGGAGGGTAGTTTCCCAAAGCAAACTTGAGGGGCTGCTTTCTCCCAGAAGTTGGGAGGAGGCTGCTGGGCCAGTAGAAACAGCTGCTGCTCCCTCCAGGGTGTCAGGGCAGGTGGTGTGGAGGGAAGGGATGCTACTCCAGGGGTCGGGCCTGGTGCCCAGCGACCAGAAAGGGCTGGCGGTCCCCAGGCTGGGGAGCACACCAGGGACCTCTCTCTCTCCCCCTGCAGTCCATCTCGGGTTTCGCACACAGCTGCTTCCAGTATGCCATCCAGAAGAAGTGGCCGCTCTACATGAGCACCAAGAACACCATCCTGAAAGCCTACGATGGGCGCTTCAAGGACATCTTCCAGGAGATCTTTGAGAAGTAACAGCCTCTCGCTTTATTGCTCCCTAAGGATTCCACAGCCTTTCTGGCCTGTCCCCCAGCCCCCAGCCTACAGGGGGGCCACTGTCCCAGTGCATTTGGCTCAGCTCTGAGCTTGGGGGGAGAGCCCCAACCTGTCAGCCTCCCACCGTCTCCCCACAACAGGCCCCTTTGCTCCCAGGCACTACAAGACTGACTTTGACAAGAATAAGATCTGGTATGAGCACCGGCTCATTGATGACATGGTGGCTCAGGTCCTCAAGTCTTCGGGTGGCTTCGTGTGGGCCTGCAAGAACTATGACGGAGATGTGCAGTCGGACATCCTGGCGCAGGGTACGCTGGGAGCATTGTTCCCCAAGGGGGTGGGTTGTTGGTCTTCTCTGGCTGCGGGATTTTTCAGACCCTTTTCGTAGAAAACTTCTCTAGTGTGGCCCGCTGGCTCATTGCAGGGTTTCCCATGGACAGCAGGGGGCAGGAACTCTCTGACATCTGAGGGAGGAAGGCTTCCCAAACTAGGTTTGGACTAGTGCATTACTAAAGCTACTGTTAACAGAGAAGAGGAGAACATAGGAATTCAAGTTCTAAAGGGCTAGGTGTGTCAGCTTTGAGGTTGTCCCTGTCCATAGGCCAGGTGACTGTGGCTCCGGGTTTGGGCTAGGTTTGGCTCTGGGAGAAAAATGGGATTGAGCACAACCGGGTGCTTTTTGAGGCACAGAGAATTCATTTTGCCCAGTAAATCTGTTGGATGCAGAGTATTGGGGAAGGTGGCAAAGCCCCAAGCCGTGGAGTGTCTTAAGACACAAATTGGATTGCAGCAGGAGTGTGAATGAGGCCGCCAGATAGGTAGCATGAGAACTAGCCCAGTCCTGTTGGGAACGAGAGCGGGAAAGGCTGTGGGAGTTGACAACAGGGGAAGTACAGAGAGGGAGGAGAAGCAAGGTTACAAGAGATGGGCTGAAGTCTAGCTCCTGATAAGGAGGAAAGTGAACTCCACCCAGGTTGTGAGGAAAAAGCCTAGGGGCCTGATGTTTTATAAAAACCTGTGGCTTTATTATTTCAGTAAGTGCAGTGGTGATCCTCTTGCTGGAACAATTCCTGTCTAGGATGGAAGGATGAAAAGACATAGCAGACGAGAGAAAGGCATGAAAGTTACCCTTAAGTAATAAGGAATTGGTGAGTGTGAGGGTCCAGTAAACACGGAGAAGAGACACCCTCCCCCCAGCCACAGACATTCTTTTTTTTTTTTTTTTTTTTTTTTAAAGATTTTATTTATTGGGGCACCTGGGTGGCTCAGTTGTTAAGCCCCACTCAGTGGAGAGCCTGCTTCTCCTTCTCCCTCTGCTGCTCCACCAGCTTGTGCTTTCTCTCTCTTGCTGTCTCCGTCCAATAAATAAAATCTTAAAAAAAGTTTTTTACTAATTCATTTATTTGAGAGAAAGTGAGAGAATACAAGTGGGATGGGGGGCAAGGGGTTGAGTAGAGGGAGAGGGAGAAGCAGGCTTCCCAATGAGCAGAGGGACCGACATGGGGCTCAATCCCAGGACCCCCCAGGATCATGATCTGAGCAGAAGGCAGACTCTTAACTGACTGAGCCACCCAGGTACCCCTTAGACAACTAGTTTTCTTAAAGAAGTTTTTTACTTTTTTGGGACGCCTGGGTCGCTCAGTCAGTTAAGCATCTGCCTTCAGCTCAGGATATGATCTCCGGGTCCTGGATGGAGTCCTGCATTGTGCTCCCTCCTCAGCAGGGAGTCTGCTTCTCCCTCTGCCTGGCGCTCCCCCTGCTTGTGCGTGTGCTCTCGCTAGCTCTCTGACAAATAAAATTAATAAAAAAAAATTTTTATAAGTTTTTGGCATTTACTCTTATTTATTTATATGACAGAGATCACAAGTAGACAGAGAGGCAGGCAGAGAGAGAGGAGGAAGCAGGCTCCCCGCAGAGCAGAGAGCCCAATGCGGGGCTCGATCCCAGGACCCCGAGATCATGACCTGAGCTGAAGGCAGAGGCTTTAACCCACTGAGTCACCCAGGCGCCCCAATAAAAAAATTTTTTTTCACTTTTTTCTAATTCTTGGGATTTAGAATTCTTATTTTGGTGCCATGGGGTGCTTTTGAACCCCAGGAGACCTTGACCAAAGGAAAGGTTGACATCTGGATTTGGGGAGATTTGGAAATAAGTCTCAAGTTTAAAGTCACCTAAAAGAGCAGTAGATAAAAGTGATGGTTATGCAGTCGTCTGCTCTCTGCTTGAACGGGCTGTTTGGGTGTGAGCCAGGCTTCGGGGGTGAGGGGACGAAATTCTTAGGATCGGGGGCCCTGGAGGCGGGGACACAGATGTATGTTCACAGGCTGATGAACACCCGATGCCCTGTGCGGGGCTCCGGAGACCCATGACAAGGGTAGACGAACCAGAAATGGGGGCTGTCCTCCCAGGCGTCGTCGGGGCTCCTGAGCTGAGAGGCAGCTCCCAAGCAGGAGGGCAGGTGGGCTCACCCCAGTGGTCTGCGGAGTGGTGTTGGCACTGAAAGGAGGGCCTTTCCCATCCACAGGCTTTGGCTCCCTTGGCCTGATGACGTCTGTGCTGGTCTGCCCGGACGGGAAGACCATCGAGGCCGAGGCTGCTCATGGAACGGTCACCCGCCACTATCGGGAGCACCAGAAAGTGAGTGGGAAGACTATGGTCACATGCGCTTCTACCCCAGGGGCTCAGGACCCACTGGGAAGCTGGGTCTGGCTTGTCAGTCTGGGGGTGGGCACCTGCATCCAGGTGGCCCCCTTGTTGGCTGTTTGGCTCCTGAGCCCCCTGTGACCCCTGCCCCTACCCCCCCAGGGCCGGCCTACCAGCACGAATCCCATTGCTAGCATCTTTGCCTGGACACGTGGCCTGGAGCACCGGGGGAAGCTGGATGGGAACCAGGACCTCATCAGGTGAGCCGAGCGGGAGGGGGCCTGAGCTGGCCCGGGGAGGGGGGGGGGTGTCCGGGCCCAGGCTCCGTAAGCTGGGGCCTCACTCTGCCCCACCGCCTGCAGGTTTGCGCAGACCCTGGAGAAAGTGTGTGTCCAGACAGTGGAGAGCGGAGCCATGACCAAGGACCTGGCGGGCTGCATCCATGGTCTCAGCAAGTGAGTGGCCTGTGGCAGAGGGTGGGGCTGGCCTTCGGGGACCTCAGGGCTGGGTGGGGAGAAGTCCGAGGCTCCTCTTGGAGGCTTCTTCTGGAATGGGCTTCGCTGCCAAGGGCCTGAGATGGGACAGGTCCACAGTCCTGAGGCCCAGTGAGTTTGTCCCCATCCCTAGTGGCTCGAGCTTTGCCCTCCCCTTCTGTACGAGCGCCTGCTCAACTCCTGGCCGAGGTGGGCTCCAGGCAGCCTCTGACAGGTGGCCTGGGTGTGCCGCTCCCCGTGGGCCCAGGAGGGCAGCCCCCCGCCCCAGGTTCCTGAGCCCCGGCTCTGCCCTGGAAGGGCCTGATGGGAGCTGTTCCTCACGCAAACCAACCGTGTTCTTTTGGCAGTGTGAAGCTGAACGAGCACTTTCTGAACACCTCCGACTTCCTGGACACCATCAAGAACAACCTGGACAAGGCTCTGGGCCACTAGTGGGGGCTGGGCCGGGCCGAGCTGGCTGCTGAGTAACCCCCCCCCCAGGCCTTTCTAGGGGACATTTTTTATAAGCAAGATGTTTTTAATATCTTTGTGTTTCCCCTCATGGTGATGTGAGGGAACAGCGTGTTTTACCTCAGCCCGTCAGTGTGTTTTGCATACTGTAATTTATATTGCCCTTGGAACACACGGTGCCACATTTAGCTACTAAAACAATGTTCACAAAAATCGGCTGCTGTGTTTGTGCCCGGGGGAAGGAGGCCGCCCAGCCTGGGCCCCGGAGACAGAGGGCCTCCGGGGATGGTAGGTTGTACCCAGGACAGACAGGGACACCGCAGGCCTGTGTCCCGGGCCTCCATCCGTCAAGGGCCACCTCGAGGGGAGGAGACCAGGCAGCAGCGTGAGCGTCCTGAATTCCCTCAGAGCTACCTTGCAGGCCTCTGGGCTCCCTGGAATGACCTAGCACAATCCTGTTACTGTACCCTCCTCTCTCTGCTTTGGGATTGCCATCACTTCCCGTGAGATTTTGGTTTTTTACTTTGTTGGTTCTAACCTCAACATCTCCAGACCTCTTTCTGTGGCCTTTTCTTGGTCTTCAAAATCGATCCCACACAGCAGCTGCCCCTACGTCCCCTCCACGGCTGCCTGGGGCTTGGGGCTCGGACCCGGACTGGGGGGACCCCACGCAGTCTAGACCACTGGGTCCCAGACTCGGGTTCATCTTCACTGTTCTTTGGCAAAACCGGAAAGGTAAGATGATCAAGTTGCTGTAAAGCTGGAGAGACCGTCGGAAGGGCTGGCTTTCACGCAAGGATTGCGTTCAACTTGGTGTCTGGTCCCCTTCACTTGCTACAATAAATACTTGGCAACCCTAAGTCCATTTCCCCAGTCTCCCGGGGGACTCTCCTGGCTCCTGACACTGGACAGTTGGGACCTTGGGAGCCTGGAGATAGGCACTAGCCCCCACTCGCTCCAGTGGCCTCCATCTGGTCGAGGGACTACTTACTCCCTTCGCCAACCCCACTGAACTCCCTGGGGCTGTAGGAGGAAAGCTGGTGTGCTAGCTCCGTGTAGGCCCATCTCCTGGGGCAAAGCGCAAGGTTTCCGGCCCTTTCTTGCCCATCACAGGGAGCTGGCAGCCTCTGAGTGCAGTCTGGCATCCTGAGCTGGCTTCGGTCCTGGTGCCCTGTTGGTCGGTCAGGAGGGGAAGCAGCTTTCCTCTGCAGGTGGTGGGAATTCTGGGGCCTGGGCCCTTAGCTCTTGGGGGGGCTCTGGGAACAGCTTCCGGTAGGTGCCTAGCCCTTGCAGGTGGCCATCCCCAATGAGGTAAAGGATGGTCTGGGTTTCTTCCCCTCCTTGGAGAGAGATCCCCCGGCTGTGCGGGGTTTGGGAAGCCTTGTTGCGGGTTCCTTGTGGGGGAGGGGTGAGGACCGAGTCCTCAAGAACCAGGGGAAGAAGCACTCACAGTCACCTCGCTAAAGAATATTCATTTATTTATAATTATTGCTAAGTAAACTTCTCTTTTAAACAGGAACATAAAAACACAGTAGGGCTTTGCACAAGTGGAATTTCTAAACAGGTGGTTTGTATACATGTCAAAATAAGTTAGGATGGAATTTGTCCAGGAGTTTCCAAGTCACCCAAGAGGCCTCGCGGGTGCCTCTCTTGAAAGGTTGGGGGAGGGGTGAGGACAGGAGCCTTGCCGAGACCACCCCCCAGCTCAGGTGTGTGAGTTGTGCTGTTTCCTTCTCTTCGCTTTGCCCGGGTCCAAGGCACAGGGCAGGGGGGCGTTCAAGTATCGAACCTCGCAGAGGGCCAGTGCTGATGGCAGGGCTGTGGGAAGAAAGGACAGCCCCACCCTGGGGGCCAGACCTTCTCCCTTGGGTTTCCACGACCAAGGCCACTGCAGTGGCAGGAAAGAGGAGGAGGACGAGGAGGTACAGGGTTCTTTTTGGTACCAGGGGAGAAAGACATTGTGGGAAGAGGTAGTTTGCAGGGATGAGGCTTCTGCTCAGCAGGAGAAAATGTCTTCTACAGTGACGGGGTCACTGCCACCTGAGGGTCATCATGGCGGGCACCTGGGGGGCCGGGGGGAGGGCCTCGGGGTTCTGGAGGGGAAAGGCTCCCGTGAGCCCCCAGCCCTTTCGTCTGCCGCCTCTTAGCGGGAGGTTTAGCAGAGAAGGAAGGGGCACCTGACTGCCTGCTCCCGAGGCCACCTTGTCCTCCCCTCAGTCCTGATCACAGCCACCCTGAAGCCTGGCTTGGTCCTTCACTAAGGATACAGCTTTGGGGGCAGCTGCATTTCCGGCTGGTCCTCCCGTCCTCCCCAGCTGTTACCCCTCCTTTCCTGGTTTCCGGGCTGAAGCTGGTGGCTTCACCTCCTTCGTGCCTTTGGGGACAGCCCCGCCTGCCCCTCCCCACCGAGGCCTCGGGAGGTGAGTGGGCAGGAGTCCGGGTGCCCTAGCGGTTCCTGAATGTGCTACTTCATGCCCCGGGGGGCCTGACTTCAGTTCCCAGGGCGGGAGCTGGCCCGGGGACAGAGGCCAGGAGAGCGGGCAAGCGAGGGAGCGAGCCGCCGGCTGAGCAGAACCAAGCGGCTCCTGCCACGGGTGCCGCGCGAGTCACTGGCTGGAGGGGCCGGGCAGGGGCCAAGGGCCTGCCCGGTTCGGCCTCCCGCCTCCTGCCCCGGCCCCGAGGCTCCCTGCCGGCAGCCCGTCCCTCCGCGCCCCTCCGCGCCCGAGCCCTGCCCCGCTCCAGGTTGGGCAGGCACGAAGCACGCACAGCACATGAGGGAGCTTCCATTTGGAAAAAGAAAATGATCTCCATCAGAAAAGAACAGGCGACACAGAAGTGGCAAGGAAAAAAAAAATAAATTACCTTCAAAATACCCCATTTGCTCAAAAAAAATTTTTTTTTCTCTATGGTCTTCATTTTCTTTTTAACTAAGTGGCTCTTCTTGGGAACCTGTTGACTCTTGGCTGTCTGCTTCCTCAACACGCATACTTGTTAATAATACAGCACCCCAGCAACCCCAAGGTGGTCCTGGGCCGCCTCTGAGGACAGCCCCTCTTGGTCCCCTGCCCTTCATTCGAGGGGCCTCCGTCTGCTTAGCGAGTGCCCAGCCAAAGGCACGTCCCTGCTCTACTCAACGTCGGGGGACCCTGGTGCAGTGACCCGTTCAGCAAGGAACTGGATGACAACCGCTGAAATCTACTTTAGGGACACCCACTTTCAAACTGCTGGAAGGTGGGGGCCTTCGGGGGGTTGGCTGGGGAGGACACCGGCTGGGGGCTGGGCTATACCCCGCTTTCCTGAGGCCAGGACCGGGCTGCATGCATGCCTGGCTCCGGAGAGCGCGGGAGGCACCAGGAGGTAGAAGGCAGGGGGCCCTGCCTGGCTGTTGACGGATGGGGTGGGGAAGGGGGCTCTGGGGCCTAAGCGTTTCCCAGCCCAGGGCCTGGTGGGGGGATAGGGCGGGGGTGGGGCGGGCGATGCTGACCAGCACAGGAGCTCAGACATCCCTAGAGGCAGGAGTTGGTGGGGAAGGGAAACAAGGCCAGGCTCAAGCTGTCTTCCTCCAGTGCCAGGACCCCTGAGGAGCTATCAGGAGGCCCCGCCCACACCACTGCCCCAGCTCTGTGGGGCCTGGACAGACCTGAGGACCTGGGCCCTACTGTCTTGGCCCCATATGGCCCCCGCCAGCATTTTTCCCACTCTCCCACAGCAGCAGGCCAGGGCGACCCAGAGCTGGGCCCCCTGTGTTTTCCTTCCTTCCCCAGATGCCTGGGGCCTGTGCCTGGGTCACAGCTGAGGCCAGTACAGTCTCCATTTGGTCTACAAGTCCCTAGTGGTGCAAACGACTCGGTGGGAGGGGAGGAGGGCTTAGGACAGTGGGGCAGTAGCTTCTCCGCTGCGGGAGGGGTGGCCCGCAGCACGTGGGTCTCCCCCCACGTCCCCTGCCCTCCCCGCCCCCTCTGGACGGCCCAGCACTACTATAGCACGTTGTAGTAGGCCATCTCCTTCATGGCCTGTTCGGTGAGGACGCTGGCCTCGGCGCTGCTATCCACACCGGCATAGGCGTAGGCGTTCTCGAAGTCCTCCATCTCCTGCTGGCTGTCGAGCTCGGAGGGGTCAGTGCCCGTCAGCTCCATCATGGGGTCTGCAAGACAGGGGCACAGTTAGGCCCGGAGGCCGCCTCCCGGGAAGAGCCAGTCACTTCTACATGGACGCTGAGGGCCTTTGTCAAGAAAGGGCTTCCTAGTCATTGCTTCCAGAGGATTCTCCATGGCTTCTCTTCCTTCCTGCGCCAGGAAGCCCCAGGCTTCTCAGATGTGTCACCAGACCTGAGCGCTGAAGCTGGGGAGGGGGTGCGTGGGGAAGGGGGAGCGGTGCAGGCTTGGCCTTGAACTCTCGTTTGCCCTCCTATGCATCCTCTGCAGTGTTTTGCATTGGTCCCCTTGGCCACATGAAAGCCTGCGGCTCTACATCATGTTTATACACTCATTTAGCCCCTACTGCATACCCGGAACTTTCCAAACACTCTCCTGAACACTCACAGCAATCCCATGGAGGAGGCCAAAAGGAAGTTCAGAGAGGTTAATCAACTTGCCAAAGGGCACCCAGCTGTTGTTTTGATCCACTCTGCTGCTCTGCCTCAAATGGCCAGAGGGAGCCCTTTCTAACCTCTGGCTTTCTACCAGCCTTAGTGCTTTAAACAGGCTCTGCCCAGTGGTCTTCCTGGGCCTTACTCTTCAAGGACAAACACCCAAGGTAGGTCAACAGAGATGCACAAGGCAAAAACTCAAAGAGGCCTCTTGTAATTTAGTCAATTTGAAATCTTACTATAAAGTTCTTAGCGTCAGAACAAAAGCCAGATGGAAAGCTCCACAGGGCGGCCCAGGACTGCCTTCTGTCAGAGGGAGGGAGGGAAGCCCGGGGTATGATCTGGGGACCCTGGGAAGCTGGCTGGCAAGGACTGTGGCTGAGTCCCAGTGCACCTAGGAGAAGTGATGTGTTTTGGGGACAAACAGACCCCGGTCAAGGGGGTGGCCCTAACAAGTCTAAGGCAGGGTTTTGGCACTATTAACATTTTGGGCCATAATTCTTTGCTGCGGGGGGCGCTAGGATGTGCATGGTACGATGGCTAGCAGTTTCCCTGGTCTCTATCAGCCAGATGCTGGTAGCATCACCGCAGGTACAGCAACCAAAAATGTTTCTACACTTGGCCAAATGTCTCCGGGGGGCACACTCACCCCCAGCTGAGAACCAGTGGTCTAAGGGCAATTCTGTCCCTTGCCAACGAGTGGTTCAGGAATGAATTCAGGCCAGTGAATCATGAGGAGAGGCCTGCTTGTGAATTTTTTGAATTCACACAATTCTCATCAGTTTCACAGAGCAAAGGGAAGAGGCTCCTACTTTCCCACTGGTTGTGCAAAGGGAAAGAAGAGCAATGGCAGCCATCTTGTGACCATGAGGAAAATCAGAGCTAATCAGAGCTAATGTTGTGAACAGACAGAGGGATCCTCGCCCTGGTGTCATTGTTGAGGGGCTCAATCAGCCAACTCTGAAGACGGCCGGGATTTCAAGTCCTTTGTGAATCTACTTCATTATTGCTTACGTCAGTCCGAGTGTGGCAGGTCTACTAGGCACGCCCAGAGCATCTGACCCACCATGAGTCTTCCTGACTTTATAAAACAAGGTCAGCGGTTTGAAATCTTAAAGACACTAAGGCTGTGTCTTCCTGAAAATCCTAGTGCCATGCCATCATATAATGCATTTGATTAAACATTAAAAACAAGCTAATAGCATACCACTTTTTATAAGGACATTGATCCATCTCCCAAATTATAGTTCCAGTTTATTAGATGGTTCCATCTAGAATATACACTGCCTTCCTCCTGCATCAGTGTGAAGCCCGAGCTTTTTAGACCAAGGTTGTATGTGAGAGACGGGCTGGCTTGGGTCCCAGCCATTCCAGTGCCAATCACTCCTTTACTGCCTGTCATCTGGAGCAGTCAGGAAGAAAACAATCCTGTGCATCCCTGGTTACTGACCTCAGACAGAAAGAGTGTGTGCCTTCACCATCCCCTGGGAGCAACGTGTGCAGGGACAGCTGTTTCCAAAAGGACAAATTCTGCTCCGGTCCCTCCTGGTTGGGTTAGGTACATGGCAGGTCTGCTAGACTGTGGCTTGTCAGACCCTAGTACACACAGAATTATCTAAAGTGCTTTAAAGTGCTGATCTCAGGCCATATGCCAGATCACTTACGTCGGACTCTCTGGAGTTGGGACTCAGGCATCAGCATTTTAAAAATTCCCCAGGTGCTTCTGATGCACGGCCAAGTTAGAGAATCAGACCTTTAGAGTCCAGATTAAAGGTTCTCCAAGTGGGGTCCTTGATTGGCAGCTTTGGTATCCCCTGAGAACTTGCTGGAAATGCAAATTCTGCGACTCTACCGCAGACCTACATATTCAGATGCTCCGGGGGTGGAGCCCTGCCATTTGTTTTAACAGATTTCCAGGTGATTCCAATGCAAACCAAAGTTCGGGCCTCTAAAACTCTACTGTGTGACAGATTGCCCTGGGATCTTTTTTGAAATGCAGATTCTGATTCAGCAGGTGTGAGGGAGGGCTGAGTCTGCAGTTCCAGCAACATCCCAGGCGATGCTGATACTGTTGGTTCTCATACCACATTTTGAGTTGGAAGGGGCTGCACAGAGCACGTCTGTGCAGCTAATGGGGTTGCCTCCTTGCTCACAAGAATAGAAAACTGAGGGCATCCGTTTCTGCCAGAAAACCCAGGCCACTCCCTGGTTAGCTGCTACAAAACCAAGTTAGGGTGCCCGCAGCCATCCCCCAACCTCTGACTGACTGCCAGTGAGTAATGCCATCCAGGCAGGTTAACTCACCCGTATTGTTCCCCGCTACTTGGTCTGAGAAGGCATGCCAGACAGTCAGCTAGCTCCAGACCGCCCAGGGAGCCTTTCCGAGGTGCCATTAGCTCTTTCTTCCAGTAGAATCTCTAAAGTCCCTTCTCCCCTCAATAAGGCCAGAGAGACTAATGTTCTTCCACAACTGATGAATGTGGAGGGCACAGGCTGTCGCTCACACTTAGGGATGTCACAACACCAGCCTATGAAACGGCTACCGACTGCAGAGGTGAGGCTCCTCCTCTAAGTGCGTGGCCTACATGGTCTTTGGCAAGCACCATGAAAAGTGTGACGGATTGTGGTCACACTTTTTGCCTTGGCCGCTGGAAGCTCAGAGCTCTCCCCGGGGCTGTCCACACACCCTCCCGTAGTTGGGACTGAGACCTCACCCAGCTTCCCTCATCTCTCTGGCTGCCCTATCCCCTTTTGTTATTTTCTTTCCCAGCCAAGCGTTTCTTTTAAATGTCACTGTCACCGTCATACAAGTGTCTGTCCTCCCCCCACGCCCAGGTGTTGTGACCCTGAGTACCTAACTTCTCTGTCCTTCAGTTTCCGCATCTGTAAGATGGGTATGATTAGCAGAGCCGACCTCCCCGTGTGGAGCCCCTGAGTTAATAAAGGCCTGGCACACAGTCAGCACTCAATCAATAGTGGTTAGTATTTTTATTTATCATAGTTTACGTGAGCCCGCTGAAGTCCTCTGAAGCATACATACACGCCCCATTGCCAGAGCCACCTTCCAGGGCGCCTCCCCGCCAGCCCGCAGCCCAGCCCAGTGAGGTCTCAGGCCTGGCCAGCCTCCCCCCGCCCCTGATTGGACAGGAGGCTCCCAAGTGAGCTGTGATAGGACCGCTCCGGCACCGCCCACTGTGCGTGGCCCACCCACCTTGGCTGTCCAGGCCGATGTCCATAACACCGTGCTTGACCTTCATGTGCCGGCTCAGGTTGCCCTTGAGGTTAAACTTGCTGGAGCAGTAGGGGCACTTGAAGGGCTTGCTGCCCGCGTGCAGGTGCATGTGACCCAGCAGGTTGTACATGCGGTTGAAGGACTTGCCACACACCTGCAACACGCCGACTGGGCATCAGGAGCCTTCAGGGGGGCCCGCCCCTCCCCCACCCCCAGCCCGCTCCCACCTCCCTGCTGGGGCTTGAATCCCGTTCGCTATGGACAGTGCTCACTCTGTCCTTTCCTAGGTGACCAACCCCAGAGGCCTGAGAGTCATAGAACCAAGGTCACTGCTCCACTCTACCTGAGCCAGAGTTACCAGAAACCCAGGGCTGGGGTCTCCAGCCACACTGAGTCCCATGCCTGGGCTTCTCCCCTCTGGCTGTGCCGGGACCTTCACCCCCTCCCCACCTTCCAAAAAAATACAACCTCAACAGCATACAGGCTCTGAACACCATGACCCACAGTGACCCACCCCCGCAACCCTGAGCCTCGGCATTTTCACCCCAAACTGGGCTCCCCCTGCTTGGTCAGCTCTGGGGAGGTTCCAGCTGCTGCCATCATGCCCACCCAGGGCCGCCCGTGGGGAAGTCCTGCCCAGTGACCCTGACAGCTCCGTACCTTGCATTTGAATGGCTTCACAGGCGAGTGTACAATCATGTGGGTCTTGAGGGTCTGCTTCTGCACGAAGGTCTTGAAGCAGATGTGGCACTGATAGGGCCGGACGCTGGTGTGGATCAGCATGTGTCGCTTCATGTTTGCCTGCAGGGTGAACTCCCGGCCGCACACCTCACACTTGAACTCCTTCACGCCCTGGAGGGGGTGGGGGGGGGTAGAGATGATGGTCAGGCCACACGATGGGCACAGCCTCTGGAAGAGTGTGGGTGTGTGCGGGGGCGGGGGCACAGTGTCTGAGTGTATGCACGGCTTCCAGAAACCGACTTCCTGGGGGTGTTCTGGGTGGGGCCCACTCGTGGAAAGGCACTGGGACAATGTTGGGACAGGGCCACCGACTCCAGAAAGCCTTCCGGTTCCTACCCACACACCTGCTGTCTCCTGCCCACCTGGGCAGGTATACCTCTAGGTCTGCCCCAAGGCAAATGTGTTTACTCGTTCATTCGTTCATTCATTCGTTCATCCAGGAACCATCTACTGGGCAGCATCATGCCAGGCACCTGGGATCTGTGGTCAAGGAGACAGCCACAGCCTGGTGGACTGTCTGTCCTCAGGTCAAGGGCACATGTATGTGTTTCTCCCCTCAGTGTTCTGTCTCAGCGGTCCTTCTGGTTCACGGATCCCCCTTGAGAATCTGATGGAAAGTATGGACACTAAGGAAAAAATGACACTTCAGGGGCATCTGGGTGGCTCAGCCAGTTAAGCGTCTGCCCTCAGCTCAGGTCGTGATCCTGGGGTCCTGGGATTGAGCCCCGCTTTGGGCTCCCTTCTCAGCGGGAAGCCTGCTTCTCCCTCTCCTAAGCCCCTGCTTGTGTTCCCTCTCTCACTGTGTCTCTCTCTGTCAAATAAATAAAATCTTAAAAAAAAAAAAAAGACAGAAAAATGACACTTCCGTCTGAATGCAGAGTTCTCAAACCTCTGGAGCCCATCTAGTTGACCCCTTGAGAGTTTCCCAAGCTTCCCTGGTGATAAGAACCAACCACCTTGTTGCTCACACAGCCTTTGGAAGATTCCTCCCTGGAGGGGCCGGGCCAGCAGGCCCAGGAATTTTTGGTCTCAACAGGTCGCTGAGATGATTCTTATCATTGAAATAGTTTGGGACACGTGCCCCGGGAGACAATGCTTCCAGCGGCAAAGCCTCTGGTTTGACTGTAACAGGCTTGTCCATGGTCTGGAGGGGACCCCAGAATGGGACAGGGTGTTGTGGGCACAGGGGGTCCGAGGTATTGTTGGGGGGAATAAAGTCAGGACAAACGCTGGGACCTGATCTCTCTGCTGAGCCAGTCACATAGTAGACCCCTAGTGGGACAGACATGTGTGTGGGGTCACAGCTGCTGTCCAGACTGCTTACGTGGGACAGAGTTTTGTATTACAAGGTGGCAGCGCCTGTGTCTACTTCCTTCAGCAGACAGGGCTGTGTGTCGTGTGTCTGCACTCGGGGGACACACTGAAGGTGTGTCTGACCACCAGGGGGCCCCGCCTCAGGGCGCTGACTCCCTGAGTGCATATATGCACGCACTGTGCAAACCCGGGCTGATGACAGGCATGTTTTCCATCTTGCCGGCCTCTGATTTTTGTTCTCGGTTTTTCTTCACGGTATTATTTCTCTTTTAACACTCTGCAGACTCGTGGGGCTTTTTAGTAGAGGAGAAAAATGGTACAGAGAGGGTCCGTGTGCTTATGGCTCCCACCCTCCCTCCTGCAGACATGAAGTCAGTCAGTCTGGTTTCACTCGACGCACGGTCCCACTTTTATGGCTGAGCCTGGACTCAGCTTCAGAATCCTTCTTAACATCACACTCTGGGCAGCTATACCCTACTGACTGGGGAGCAGCGGCCAAAGCCTACAAGTCATCTCTGCTCTAGAGGAAGACAGTCCCCGGGTGGGGAAGGAGGGATTCTCAGGCTAGCAGGCTGTACCCTCCCAACCCCGCCACTCGCTGCGGTGTCCACTGGGAGAGGTGAGGACGCAGGCTGGACCCCGAGTGGCCTACGGCTGCCGTTATGGAACCAGGGAGCTCTTGCACGTTGAGCTGCAAAACGTGAAGTTGGTTGGATTCAGGGTGGAAACGACGGTGCAGGCTGAGGGCCGAGCGAGGCTGTGGGACCCAAAAGGCCTCATTCCATCAGCCTGGACAGAAGGGCCTCTGGGAAGGGGTGACAGTGGCTAAAAGGCAGGGTGGCCTGAGGGGAGGAAGAGGACGGTGGGAGACAGTGGGTCAAAGTGATGTCTGGAGGACACAGTGGACAAGGCCAGCGTGCTCCATCTTTCATCCCTCCAAACCGCTCTGCCTGTTTTGTGTCCTTTTCCATAACAGGTATTTTTCCTTCTTTCGGTTCCCTTTTAAAATGAAATATATTTAAGCTTTTTCCTAAAAGGAAACCACAGGTTTGGACACAGTTTGGTAATTACAAGGAGCAAAGAAAACCTTCTCCACTTCTGACCATCTCGTCCACTGCCCCGTGGCCTCCGCCCTCCGGGAGAGCAGGCTGCTTCGGAGGTTCTCCAACTGGGTTCCCTGGGGGCCTGCCGGGGCTCCTCCAACATTTCATTCAAAAACTTCAAAAAATTAAGTTTTACTGTTAAAAAAAAAAAGCCCTGAGTTTCAACTGTATTTTTTTTTCTAATATGGCTCCGAAAGAATATGTAATTATAAACATGACAGGTTCATCTGCCTCCCGTCTCTATAGCTCCCTAAGGGATCTGAAGCAGGACTTTGGGGAGCACTGGACAAGGCCTGCAGGAGGAGAGGGAAGAGGTCAGGCCTGGGGCCAGGCCCCTGTGGGGGAAGGAGAGGCACTGGGGAGAATGTGGGGGGGAGGGGCAGAAGCAGCAGGGTAGCCCCCGGGGAGGGCTGGCAGCTAGGTCCCCTCCCCAACAGCCCCAGGAGGGCAAGTGGCTAGCGCCCCCCTCCCCCCCAGTGCAGGTGGCTCGGTACCCCCCACCCCCGGCCCCCTACCTTGTGGGTGAGGGAGTGCTGCTTCAGGTGGTGGATCTGGCTGAACTCCATGCCGCACTCCGTGCACACGAAGGGCCGCACGTTCTGGTGCTTGAGCATGTGGTTCTGCAGCTGGCTGCGGTAGTGGAAGGACTTGTCGCACTCGAGGCACTGGTACAGGGTGGGGCCCTGGTGGGAGGCCAGGTGGCGCTTGAGCTGCGTCAGCGTGGAGAAGTCCAGGCCGCACTCCACGCAGACGTGACAGCGGCCGCTCTCGTGCTTCACCTCGTGCGCCTTGAGCTCGCTGGGGTAGGCGAAGCCGCGGCCGCAGAAGTGGCAGCTGTAGGGCTTGACCTCCGAGTGCAGCAGCATGTGGCGCTTGAGGTGGCTGGTCTGCGTGAAGGCCTTCTGGCACACCTGGCACTTGTGGGGCCGCGTGCCCTGGTGCGTCAGCAGGTGCGTCTGCAGGTGGCTGGGCTGCTTGAAGAGCTTGCTGCAGTGCGGGCACGAGTGCGGCTTGATGCCGTTGTGGCCCAGGATGTGCGTTACCAGGTTGTACTTGGACGTGTAGGACTTCTCGCACATGCGGCACTGCCAGCGCTTCTGCCGGTCGCCGGCCTCCACCAGGTACGAGTCGTCGATCTGCACGTTGATGTCTAGCCGGTCCAGCTGCGCCTTCTTGTGGCGCTCCACTGTGGAGCCGGCCGCGTCCGCCTCGAACTCGCTGGCCTCCTGCCACACGAAGCCCTGCTCCGGCTTCACGGGCTCCGGCGACTCCAGGGTGGGGGCCTCGGGGTCGCCCAGTGGGGCCAGGTGGGGCGCTTCGAAGCTGCACTCGGAGGACGGCAGGGGCTCCGGCCCGGGCAGCGCCACGCCGGGCTCCGGGAAGCCATCCCGGGCCGGGTCGGGGAAGTGGGGGTCGTAGGCGGCGGCGTCCAGCTCCGGCCGCGGGGCTCGGGGCAGGTGGCGCAGTGTCCGGGGCTTGCGGCTGAAGGCGCTCAGGTCGATCATCTTGACGGCGCTGCTCTGCACCAGGGCCTCGCCACCGCTGCCGGCCACCTCGGCAGGGGCCTCCGGAGGGCCCACATCCTTGTCGTCACCGGGCACGGACACCTCGTAGACCTCCTGCTCCTCCTCCTCCTCCACCTTCTCAAACTTGACCTTGGGCACCAGCCGCACAGGTGGCCGCGTCTTCCGCCGGGTGTGCTTCTCGAAGGCGGCCTCCACCTCCAGCACCTCCTCTTCCACCGGCTCCTCCAGGGCCCTCCCGTTGCAGGCCAGCTGGTAGACGTCGGGGCCGGGGGGCCCGGGCTCCCCCATGGCCGTCCCGGACAGCTCGGGCCCCAGGTCCGGGTAGAAGGCTTCGGCGCTTATGGTGGCTCCGAAGAGCTCATTTTCCGAGACCAGGCCCAGCACGGCGGCCTGAGCCAAGGACAGCACCACCACGGCATCCGTCTGTGTCCCTGAGTCCATGAAGCCCTCCATCCCGTGGTGGCTGGCTAGGAGGGCATCGCTGCAGGAGGAGAAGGGAGCGTCAACACAGCCGGCTCCAGGCTGCACACAGAACAGACACACACACACACACACACACACACACACGCGCGCGCGCGCGCGCGCTCGCGTTCAGCAGACACTTGGCTAATTTGGGCTGTGTCTGTCCCTGGTGTGTTTCTCCCGCTGCCTTGGGAACAGGACACCCTTGTCATCATGGGGACGCCCTCTGTGGATCTGTCCATCATCTCCATCTCCCTGTGGGATCCCAGATAAGCTGTGCCCCCTCGCCCGCCTCAGTCTTCCCACCTGTAAACAGGAAGGTGGCATTTCCACAGTGGTTCTCAAACTATGTTCCCAAGAACGTCCTTCCAGAGAGTTCCTCCAAAAAGCTGATTTGAAATTGTAAAAAAATAAAGATTCCTCTCTTTCAAAAATCGATTTTAGAGAACCCATTTCCTCAAACGTAATATACACCTTCCCCCAGCACATTTTGTAGCCCCACTGGCTTTGTTCCCCAAGGTAATGAATTTTGCACAGACCTTGAGACCATATAGTGAGGCGTTAAACAACCGTGACCATCAGTAAGGGCTTGACCATATGAATGAGCTGTTGTGGTTTTTAGTTTTTATTTTTTTAAATGTGTTTTCATTATTACTACATATATATATATATATATATACACGTATATATACATATATATAAAGATTATTTACTCATTTATTTGAGAAAGAGAGAGAGAGAATAAGCGGGTGGAGGAGCAGAGGGAGAGGGAGAAGCAGGCTCCCCACTGAGCAGGGAGCCTGATGCGGGACGTGATCTCAGGACCCCGAGATCATGACCTGAGCCGAAAGCAGACACTTAACTGAGCCACCCAGGCACCCCGTTTTGTTTTTTTTTCAAAAAAATATCAATATATCTATATCTATATTGAGGTGGGGGAAAAGAAAACAAATACATGGCAAAAACAAGGTAACACAAAAAATAAATCAGGTGCCAAGGTCGATCTCGGGGACTACCACCTATCTATGAAGCCTGATGCTCCACGACTGTGTCTCTCCAACAGGTGATTGTTCTGGATTAGCGAAGTATCACACATTAGATATCTAAACTTATGCCGATTAAAAGTACGCCTTTCCTCTGATTTGTACACTGGCGTTCCATGTAAAATGCGATCTGACAGAAGGCCCCATGATGGCTAACGCCGACGTTTGAGAGCACTGTCGGAAACAAAGACCAAGAGTCGGCCCTCAGGTTCGCAGGCACGCGCTCTGACCTGACCGGTTCTTCTAAAAAAGCCAATGCTCTCACCTGTCGGCGTCCAAACCCTGGTGCACGGGCTGCCTGCCTTCTTGGGGACGCACTCTGGGTAACCGGCCTTTGCACATGGCTCCTCCCACCGGCCTCCCAGGCTTCCCTCAAATTCCACCTGTTCCTGGGACTCCCTGGCCCTCCCACGGGCCCGGGTACCCTCTCCGGGCCTCCTCAGGACTGCTGTGTGTGCCCCGGATGTGGGAGGGCCTCCTCCCCGGCCTGGGACACTCAGCCTGATTGCAAGGCCCACCCTCGCTCGGCGCGGTCCCATCAGAAGTGCTCCATAGGGAGGGAAAGATTATTGCTGGGGTGGCTCCTGGCTGCCCGGCCAGCTCTGGTCCCAGGGTCAGGGTCAGGGGTATGGCGGGCTTCGGCCCTTCCTCAGGAAACCGGCTCTGGGCCTCCTGTCTCCCTCCCCCCACAGGCCAATGGAGCTTCCCCTTCCTGAAGCCGGCTAAAAATAAAACACCCAGACAGGAATTTAGCTTCCTTGAAATGGACACTAAAGATTAAACTATTAATCTTAAAGTCAGGCTCTCGTGGGAGGGTCAGGTGGAACGGAACCTGACTCGGCTCAGGGTCCATGTGGAACAGGCCAGAAGGGCTAAACCTCATTCAGCCCTGCCCCACTGCCCCTGTTGGAAAGAGCATGGAATGGGGGTGGGCAGCTTGGCCCCAAGTCCGAGCTCTGTCACTTACGAGGGACTAAGAAAGGTCACTTCAAAGTCTCTTCTAGAAGCACCTCAGTTTCTCCATCTAAAACATGGCAATGTGGGGTGCCTGCGTGGCTCAGTGGGTTAAACCTCTGCCTTCGGCTCAGGTCATGATCCCAGGGTTCTGGAATTGAGCCCCGAGTCCGAGTCCAGCTCTCAGCTCAGCAGGGAGCCTGCTTCCCCATCCCCCTCTGCCTGCCCCTCTGCCTACTTGTGATCTCTGCCTGTCAAATAAATAAATAAAATCTTAAAAAACAACAACAACAACAAAAAAACATGGCGATGGAAAAACCTACCCATAGAAGGATCGTGACAGCCCAGAGGTCGTAACTAGATGAAGGGGATTTATTAATTATCAAGCCCTCACAAAATGCAAACAATTAAACTTATTTATTCGCCCAGATCTCTGGAAGAAGAGCTTCCTGATGAAGGCCACAGAGCAGAGAGACGTCTCCCTCCCGGGGCCCCCAATTCAGCAAAGATTGGGGTGCTTCTGGGATGAGAACCCATTCATTTCTTTGTGCCACAAATGCTTGCTAATAAAATCCCTGCTCTGGGTCCGGCCCTGTGCTCGGAGATGCGAGCTGGGGGAGGCAGTGGGTGAATCCTTAGAGACTGCTGTGCCCACCATGGCCACCCTGTGGGGCAGCATCGTCGCCTCCCCACCCCCCCCCGGGCCACCAGTCTGACACAGCACCCAGGAGCAGCCCTCATGCTGACTGTGGGTTTGAGCAAAGAACCCGCTCAGCACTTTTTCTAGACTCCCGTGAAGTCAGGGCCATGGAGGGAGCCACTGACCGCCAGCAGCAGAACCAGTGCTGGGGACTTGGCCCTGGGTCTGGAGTTCAAACCCGGATTTTGCCCTTTCCTTGCTCAGGCACATCCCACAGCCTCCTAGCCTGCTTCTTCATCGGTGTGGTGGGGTGGTGAAAAGAGATGAGGACGGCAGTGTGGATGTTCATTCCCTCTCTGTGGCCCCAAAGCCGGCACCCTCCCCTCCTGGCGACCTCGAGGGGAGGGGAGCAAAGAAACCATCAGGCCTCTGGCAGCCGAAGGGGCATGGGAGCACAGGTGGTCCCCCGTGGGGCGGGGCATCGTCCAGCTTATCATCCCTGCTAGGAGTGGCCTTTAAGAGTGCAAGGGGCTACTCCTAATGATCACACCAGCCTCTGGCCGAGCGGGCATGCCCTGCCTCTGGAAGTGCTCACAAGGTCCCAGGGGAGCCCTTCAATCCTGAAACAACCCCCTGGGGGGTTGGGCGGGACGCACTCCACGAAGCCCAGGAACCCAGGGCCTCAGTCAGGCTCGAGTGTCCCCTCAGTCACAGCAGAGCTGGGCTATGCAGGCCCGGGGGGCCCTCCAGCCCGGCCCCATCAGGGCCCCAGGCCTCCAGCTCTGCTCCTTTAATCTGTGCGACCTGGTAGGTCGTGTCACGGCTCTGAGCCCGGCCTTGGCTCCCAGGTGATGCCCGGTCACCCCCAAGTTCCGAGGAGCCAGCAGGTGCTCAGATGGGGGGGCCCAGGTGACCTGCAACTGGGAGGCCTCAGAGCTGTCCCTGTCCAGCTGGTCCGGGGACCCCTCCAGGGCACCTCTACTCGGACTGCACTTCTTGCTGGAACCCTGCACCAGCCCGTGCCTGCGTGGCCCGTCAGACCCCTGCGCTTCCACTTGGCTAAGCAGAACACCCCCCCACCCCATCAGTGCATGTTCAGTGGGGCAACAGGGCCAGCTATGAGTGCACGCTTGCGTCTGCGTGCATGTTTCAGAGGGGCTCTGTTTGCTGAAACAGAGGCTCGGAGAAAGAAACAGAGGGAATCTAATTTACCTGCATTGTGCATGCAAGCTCTGTCTACCAGACACAGAAACAAGGAGTGCAAAGGTGGGGACTCTGCAAACCAGTGTCCCCATTTCTCTCTCCTGGGTCCTCTTTTGGGCAGCACCCCCGCCCCCCACTGGCTACAGCCCTTCTGTTTTATGCCCTAGCTCGACACTGCCCAGGCCTGGAGGAGAGCCTGCCAGGTGTGCACCACCTGTGGGCCAGGCGCCCCCTCCTCACGGCCCCCCTTGTGGCCTCCCCTCTCAGGACAAGGCCAGCCCACCCCCCAACTTAAATGGCGCTCAGAACAAAAGCTCACCGAGGTGACCCTGAGAAAGGGGAGCTCAGACCTTCCTGGGCTCTCTTCTGGGCAGGCTGCAGCTCAGCCTCCTGCCGGGGCACCCTGGGTTCCCAGCGTGGAGAGAAAGGACATGGCAAAGGCAGGAAAAGAGAGGATATAGAATAGCTGGTTGGTGGTAGCTTAAACACTAGAACTGGGACTGGGACTGGAACTGGGACATGGGAGGCCATGGAGGGGGTAGGGAAGAGGAGGGGGAGAAGGTAAGAGGAGAGAGAGAGGGAGGAGGAAGGGGGAGAGAGTAGTAGGAGAGGGAGGGAGAAAAGGGAACAGGGAAGAGAAAGAGGGGGAGAAGGAAGGAAGAGAGGGGAAGAGGGGGAAGTAGGGAGGGGGTGGGGAGCTGTGGAGGCCAAGAAACGGAAAGTAGAGGAAGGGGAGGGAAGGAGGAGCAGCCCTACTTCCCCGGGCCAGGCATCACCCAGGCCAGCTCCCTGGGGAGGGCCCCAAGCCTCACCCTGGGGCCCAGCAGGAGGCCTTCCCTGCCTGGACAGGGACCCCGGCCCCCAGAGTGCTGTCACTTCACCTACTGCTGTACTATAAGGGTTCCTGTCAACACCGACATTCTCGTCAAATGCATTAAGGGCGACTTGCTGTGTGACCCTGGACGAGTCACCTGACCACACAAGGTCTTGGTTTCCTTGTCTGTAAAAAGGGCACACGTGGCTTCTCGGAACACCGAGGGCAGGTTAATCCTTGGCCTACCTGCCTGTCCCCCAGTGTCCCCTCTGCAAGATGGGGCAGCACCTCTGTTACCCACTCCCATTGTTCTAGAAGGTGCCTTTCCTGTCAGTGAGAGCCCCTTCACGCATCCCCACTCTGAG